AGAACCAGATCTTCAGTGCCTTCCGGAAGAGTGTTAGAGTGGGGGCCACTATAATCTCTGGGGGGGGGGGGGGGTGATGTTCCAGAGAGAGAGGGCCACCATGGAGAAGCCCCTTCTTCTGGGTCCCACCAGGTGTATCTCCCTCTGGGATGGGACCTGCGGATTATCAACCTGAACCTGTTTGAAAAAATAGAGAATGATTTAAAGCCAATGAAACCAGTGTGGGTGTGTGGGTATATTTTGATCTCTGTGTATGTGTGTTTTGATGTGTGTGTGTGTTTTGGTCTCTATATGTTTGTGTTTTGGTTTGTGGGTAGGTTTGAGTATGTGTGTGTTTGGGTCGCTTTGTGTGTTTTGGGCTGTGTGTGTGCATGCATGGAAAAAAATCGAACTGATGTTATTGTAAAACTTACTTGAGATCAAAAGAAATGGCTTTTTTTCAAAGCAGTATTTATGCTTGAAGGACAGGACAGGGGCAATGGAGTAAAACAAAAGGAAATCAACAGCGTTGATTAAAAAGGACGTTTGTTCTTACTGGATGTTTTTCTTTTCTTTCTCTTTCTGATCTCAGCTTCAGTCAATAATTCAGAAGGTGATCACCTATCTCCACGACTTCTCCGTTCTCTTTTCACTGGTGAGCTTCGACGGGGCGACAAGGATCCTGCGTTCCTAACTGTCTAAAAGAAATGCGCACTTTCTCTCGGAGACTCTTTGAGATTAGCTGGAAGTCAGATGAGTAAATCTGAAAATGAAAACAAATCTCATTCATGCAACTCTTAAATCTTGCCTGGCTCTGCCTATTTTGGGCATTCCTCTCGGAATATTAAGTGCAGCTCCAACAGCTAACCGGCTCTCTTCCCAGAGTTGAGGAATTGTAACTAGCTGGTGTTCCTTGTCCTCCAAATCTGGAAAACCACTGACCTTCCAAATACAGGGAGTGCCACGCATGTTTCCTAGTTAGTCCTCGACTTATGACCCACAATTGAGCCCCCAAATTCCATTGCTAAGCAAGACTGTGGTTAAAGTGAGTTTTGCCCCATCTTACGACCTTTCTCGCCACAGTGGCTGAGTGAATCAGTGCCGTTGTTCAGTTAGCAACGCAGTTGTTAAGTTATAGGACATGGGATCTATTTAATTAGCGATTAGATTAAAAAAAAATATGGAATTGAAAATCTATTAGAGAATGTTAACACCAAAATAATAGAATGATTTAAAATAGGATATTAAAAAAAAATACTTATTACTGGACATGTTGAAGATGATGTAACGAAGTATTATAATATAAACGAACCCATATTTAGAATACCTTGTTTGAAATGATGAAATAATAGTGACAGTGAAACAAATGAAGTACTATAATAATAATTTTTACAAATGTACTTGATTGACAATATGTGACTTTATATAAAATTTAAGGGATTAATGTGGAAAGGATGCACAAAAACCTTGTAACCAATCGACGGTTGGTACGGAATGGAAGATGTTTTTTATGTTATGTGTTTTGTTTATGTTTGTTTAAAAAATAAAAACATTTTTTAAAAAAACACAGTTGTTATGTGACTCTGCCTTCCCCATTGACTTTACTTGTCAGAAGGCTGTCAAAGGTGATCACATGACATCAGTTGCCAAGCTGAACTTTTTTAATATATACATTTATTTTATTTTACTTTTTATATAAAGAATCCATCTTCCATTAAACGGCGTCATCTGGGTACAAATGTTTTGTGCGGTAACAATTAAAATTTACAGTCATATTCATTATTTAATCTATTCTTAGTTTAATAACCGTACCTTAAGTATTCAACACTATAACAATCCTCTTCTAAATTTATTTAACTCTGTTTACTCTATGAATACATTTTCTATATTTTACTCATCTACTTTTATTTCTAATTCTTACGTTTATTCTCTAACCATCGAGAAAATGGTTCTCATATAGGATAATAATCGGTTTGTTCTGAATTTGGAAGTGCAACTTCATTCTGATGAATCAAATTGAGCCAAGAGCTCTAATCCTGGTGTTTTCCTTGATTTCCTAGGAGAAATTCTTGCCATTCCTGGATATGTTTCAGAAAGAAACCGTGAGAGTCGACGTCTGTAAATGCATCATGCAAGCTTTTATTAAGTAAGTCTAATGCCTTCTGATTAAGTGCACTTCAGAGAATCGAGACGGATCTATTTAAGTGCTGTTAAGTGTGACGGATAGAATTCATCTGCAGTCCATTTGGCATTGAGAGGTTTTGAAAGGCATTTCGCGCTGCTCTAAATAAGGAATGTAAAACATATTCTCATTCCTATCGATCTGCTGTTGAGGCCCGTCAACGATTATGCAACTTGACTGCATTAAAGCAGTTTGCGCGCTTGTAAAAAAAGGGCGCTGCTGTCAGACACAATCCAGAAATGGAACAAGGAGGACGAGGGAGGGACATTTGCAGAAGGATAGGTCAGAAAGCAGAGCTGGATGCCGGCTGGCTTATTTATATACTCGGAAGATTGATGATAGGCAGAGTAGTAATAAGGCCATCATCATAAGGTGCAACAATTATACAATAGCAGGGTTGGAAGGGACCTTGGAGGTCTTCTAGCCCAACCCCCTGCCTAGGCAGGAAACCCTATACCATTTCAGGCAAATGGCTATCCAAAATCTTCTTAAAGACTTCCAATTTTGGAGCATTCACAACTTCTGGAGGCAAGTTGTTCCACTGATTAATTGTTCTGACTGTCAGGAAATTTCTCCTCAGTTCTAAGTTGCTTCTCTCCTTGATTAGTTTCCACCCATTGCTTCTTGTTCTACCCTCAGGTGCCTTGGAGAATAGCTTGACTCCCTCTTTTTTGTGGCAACCCCTGAGATATTGGAAGACTGCTATCTTGTCTCCCCTAGTCCTTCTTTTCTTTAAACTAGACATACCCAGTTCCTGCAACCGTTCTTCATATGTTTTAGTCTCCAGTCCCCTAATCATCTTTGTTGCTCTTCTCTGCACTCTTTCTAGAGTCTTCACATCTTTTCTACATCGTGGCGACCAAAACTGAATGCAGTATTCCAAGTGTGGCCTTACCAAGGCATTATAAAGTGGTATTAACCCTTCACGTGATCTTGACTCTATCCTTCTGTTTATGCAGCCTAGAACTGTGTTGGCTTTTTTGGGCAGCTGCTGCACACAGCTGGCTCCTATTTAAATGGTTGTCCACTAGGACTCCAAGATCCCTCTCACAGTTGCTACTATTGAGCAAGGTACCACCTACACTGTACCTATGCATTTAGTTTTTCTTGCCTAAATGTAGAACCTTACTCTTTTCACCATTAAATTTCATCTTATTAGATAGTGCCCAATGTTCAAGTTTGTCAAGATCCTTCTGTATCTTAAGCCTATCTTCTGGATAGACAGATGGATAGTCAGATAGACAGTAAAATAGAAAACAAGCCAGCTGTGGACGGTTAGGGTGGAATTGTGCATTCCAGAATGCAAGAAGCATTTGTGTAGGGGGCTACATTGTTGGATGATACCAGTGTTCCTATTAAAAAGGCTTGGGTCAATTTCTTTATTTACTTGTTAAATTTTGTATTCTGCCTTTATTATTTTATAAGTAACTCGGCAGTGACCCTACATGTAAATATATGCAGGGGTGGAATTGAAAAATGTTAGCAACGGGTTCTCTGCCCGATTGCTGGGTGGGTGTGGCTATGATGGGCGTGACCTTCTTGTCCTCCTGCATTATTGGGGGGGGGGTGCGTTTTCACCCTCCCCAGTCTCTGTAGGCTTTCTCTGAGCGTCCCGGGAGGGCGAAAGCGGCTTCTCCCCGGCTCCGAAGGCGGAAAAGGGACTGTTTCCAGACTTTTGGGAGGCCCATTTTTCGCCCTGTGAGAGCCTTTGTGCAGGCCCTGCACTTACCTGGCATAATAAAAGGGCCACATGGAGACTCCTGGGAGGAGAGGGGTGGGCGGGGCCAGCCGGTCCTTGGAACAAGCAGTTCGCCTGAACCGATGTGAACTGGCTGAATCCCACCTCTGAATATACGCCTCCCTCCATCCTCTTTTTT